CCCCAAAGAGACCATAACTGACACCCAAGCAGATATATGCACACCCATGTTTATCGCAGCTTTGTTTACAATAGCAAGGAGCTGGAAACAACCTAAGTGCCCATCAGCAAACAAATGGATAAAGAAGCTGTGGTATATTCACACAATGGAATACAATGCTGCATTGAAAAACAAGGAACTCATGCAATATTATTCAAAATGGGTGACTCCAGAGGACATTATGCTGAGTGAAGTATCTCAGTCACAAAAGGACAAATACTGCATGGTGCCACTGTTGTAAAACAGGACTGACCTTGGGGTTGGGGAGAGACTGAGAAAGATGGGTTCAATAATGTATACTGCACTGAAACAGATGAGGGAGAAACTGTTTAAAAGGGATATGTGATTAGGCATTTTTGTCATGACAGGAGTCTAGAGCAAAGGCTACATGGTGGAGTGGACCTGGGGGAGGGTTCGTAAAACAATGAAAGAATTTTTCTTTTACTTTTCCCAGAGGGTAGTGTACTGGGGGGGAGGGTTGGGAGGGGAGAAAAAATGAATGGAAATCCAAAGTCTCTGTAAAATTTTACTGAAATTAATAATAAATTTAAATAAAACAAAAAAAAATTTTAAAAAGAACATGACCATATCTCTGTAACTGTGAAAATGGAATTCTGGGATTAAAGAGGTGTCTGGGAACCGGTTAAGCACTAACAGCTGCGCCAAGAATCCTGTTCCCTTTAACCAGCCCCCTCTGCATCCAGAAGCTATCTCTCATTTCCTTGGCATTCTGGTGAAATGGGCGAACTCAGTGCACCTCACTTAAAGATAACTATCTTGGGTCATCAGAGATATTTTTATGTTTGTGTTAGATTTCCTATTCAACTGCAAACTTCTTATAAAGGGACACTACATCTCAACTGTTTTATACATCCTCCTATACATATGCTTAACATTCCCAGAGTATCAGAGCTGGAAGCACCTTGAAAGTCCTTCCCTAAAGTCCTCATCGATGTCCTGCCACAGCTAATCTACATTTTATAAATGAGGAAAGTGAGGCAACTCCTCAAAAGAGCTCAGGGGTATTGGGTGGGGGTGGGGGCAGATTTCTCAGTGAGAAATCAGAGGTGACTGATGAAAAAGGGCCCCAAAGTGGAGGCTAATCTGAGGGAAAAGAACAAAATGCATTGCCCTTCCGTCAGAATCAATTCATAGCTGACCTGTTGAGTTTCTGAGGCTGTAAATCACAGGGAAGGGGATTGGCCATTTTCCTCCTGCAGAGTAGATGGTGGATTCGAACTGCCAGACAATGGTGGTCTTTGCGTTGGCAGCACATTCCCTACAGACTAGCCACCAAGTTATCAGTGTCAAGGGTCCCAAAGTCAGGACTATTCTGTGAGGAAGATAGGATCCAAAGAGGTAGAAGAGGAGTGGCCAGGCCCACCCACATGCAAGGAACACAGACAGGGCTCTACAGCAGGAAGCCAGAAATCCTGGGCAGAGGTGGAAATTCAGCACCTATCACAGCATCACAGATCTGGAAGGAAGTGTAGCATCTATCAAATCAAGCCAATTTCTCAAATGCCAGGCAAAGGATAAGACTTAAACCAATGTGTCTTACCCCTCGCTATTTTTGTCTCTACATCACACAAGACGCAGTGTTTGTCAGGCTGATTCCTGAGTTCCTCCAAAGGACCAGGTGGTGACAGCATACATGAGCCCTGAGAGCAGAGCTAGTAGAGGAGGCTGCCCTCCAGTTCCCACAGTCGGGGTGGGCATGTGCAGTATCTCCCCACTTCTTCCAGAGGGTACCCCCCTGAGGAAGCCACACAGGGTCCCTCTGCTTTGGTGGCAGGTAAAAGGAAGGAAAGGACCTACAACCAGGAGAAGACAACATAGATGAATGGGATCTTCTAAGACTCAAATCCCTATGCACATCCAAAAACTTCTCCAGTAGGGTAAAAAGGGAAGCAACTGACTGGGAAAAAGTAT